TTTTTGGTAATTTCAGCTTCTTTCTGTCTTTTTAGCTACTATTCAGCCATTTTTATTTTTGGGCAAATTTCAGCTTTTTTCAGATAATTTTCACTTTTTGTTTTCATTTCTGCTTATTTCAGTCTAACTGGACACAATTGTGCTCTCTCCACTTTCTTCTAGTATTTAAGCTTCTTTCTGACGTTTCAGCTACTTTTCAGCTTTTTTGTTGTTGTTGCTAATTTCAGCTTCTTCTTTTTTTTGTTTTCTTCTGCTAACTTAGGCTTGTTCTTCCATTTCAGCTTAATTTCAACATGTTTTTAGCTATTTTCAGCTGTTTTTCAGCAAATTCTTCAGCAATAAGCATTCACACTGGATTTTCACAAGAAATGCAATTTTTCTAGTCTATGGTTTTAAAATGTACTTAGTATTTAGTTTACTTTGACAAGGTTTTGTCTCATACTCTTTGCACTCCTCTGCATCATGTTTCTCGACTGCTCATTCTCAGGCTTTTGTAACAAATCCTCCTGATATGGTTCAGTTTTTGTCATTTGCCAACATCTTTTGAGCGTTTGATGAAAATTTGACTTAAGTCTTAAGGCTATCACGCCTCACTTCTGGCTCTCAGACTCAGTATCTTAATCAAAGTGACATCAGTTTTAGCTGGTGTATGGGAAGCATGAGGTTTTATACTTAGCTTCAACTAAAAAACGGCTGACTTGCTATTTTGTGTTAAATTTGTTGTTCTAAAACTTGAATAATATCATGTTTCTATCCTTCTGTTTCCCCACTTTTTCACCTCACACCCATCTGATATTTGTGTTTCCCAAGTGTTGGTGTTTGAGTTATGTGTTTTCTGTTTTTGGCCTCTTCTCATATTGCCTCCCTGCTCTGTTTGGCTCCGGCACACCCCAGCCTGTATGATGTTTTCTGACTTTACTTGAGTGTTTGAGCATGCCGTTTCCTGTTTTATTCTTTTTCTGTGTTAATAAATGTTTAGATAATCCTCCTTGCAGTATAAAAAAAGCCTAACTTTTTTTTTTATTAATCTTATTGGTGTCAAACCTTAAGATTCATTTTCTTGATTCCCAGAAATTTCTTTGCATTTTTGCCTTTTGTTTACATGCCAATGCGTTTTCACGTCCATCTTCCTTTGTTTTTAGCAAGTTATTTGTAGTTTGGTACTGTGTAGTGTTTGTCATTTTTCTTGTTTTATGTTTGCTAGTTTTGCGTTACATTTCTTGTCAGTTTTGAGTTGTATACCCATCGTTTTTTCAGGCATCAATGGAGCACATAGTGAAGGAAAAGATGCCAAAAAAGGGAGGAGGCTGGTGGTTCTCATGGAGGAGCAGGAACAGTGACTCCAAGTCGGTCAGTCCACAGAGAGAAGCATTGGCTGTTCAACTAGCCCGTAGTCTTTATTTATGTGCATTGGGCATTTAGAGTGTCAGAGAATAGAAAGACTTGAGACGAGAGTTAGAATCTTAGCACGTTTTCAATACCAGCATATAATGTTTCAGTTGTTGATCCTTTTTGCACTTTAGGAAACGTCTGAAGCAGCAGGAGACAGAGAGGAGAGCTCAGTCGCTATGACGCAACCAAACAGGTGATTCACACACCTGATACTGGTGCCATCTTTACATCACTACAACTAAAAACCTCACTCAACATCCACATCAGTTTTTCCTCTAAAACCAACCAGGATGCTTTGGATTTTTCAGGCTAAAGGATGAATCTTCCTCGAGTGATGAAGACCACAGATCGTCCAATCAGGTGTCAGGATCCAGCCAGTCAGAGGCGTTTTTGAGCTCCAGCAGCATCTGTTATAAGAAGACTCTCCGGCTCACTTCAGACCAGCTGGTACAGTGTTTCCCCCTACGGTTGGTTTTATTAAATCCAGCAGGGACACTAGCTCATAGGGAATGAGTAGTTTTGTGGATTTTTTTTTAATTTCCTTTTTGAGCAAAGCCTCATGTTCTGAAGCTATCTGGTAGTAGAACAAACTAACTCCTACTGAATGTGGATATGCTGTTCTGACTGTGTCACGTCCATATTTTAGTAAGAATAAAGTCCCTCATGTTTTTATCACCTGCCACCATGAAATAATGTAATTGCTTGTGTCTGTGTGTATGTTTATGCTTGTATTTGTCTGTGTGTTTGTTTGCAATATTTCTCATGAACCTCTGGTCCAGGGGTCTGCAATCTGCGGCTCTGGAGCCACATGCGGCTCTTTGGTCCCTCTGTAGCGGCTCTTTTAAGCTTTGACCAAAACTAAGATAAAACTGAATTTTTGTTGGTTATACAAACAACAACAAAAAAAAGATTAGGTCAAACAGTTTTCCTGTAATTTATTTTGCAAATACGTGAACACTGGAGCGAGAACAAGGAGTAAAACATACTCACTTTAACTTTATGCTTTATTTGTTTGTATGAAGAACTGTCTGCATAGTTTATAGATTTTTTTTTTATTAAAAATGGTCAAAACTGATCCCCCCCCCCCCCCCCCCCACACACACACACACACACACTTCTTTACAAGAATCTTGTATTTTACTTTAATGTTAAAAATCATTAGATATTTGTTGCTTTATAATGTCACCCTTACTGGCCACAAAAGCCCCCTCCAGCAAATCTAAAGTGGCTCACGGGCCACCAGTTGATAACCACAGTTGTAGCAGGTTTTTGCTGCTCTGGACACGTTTAATCTAGTGAAGGAAGGTGTAAAAATGGCTCTTTTGATTGTCAAGGTTGCAGACCCCTGGAAACTCTCAGAAAGTAATCATTGGATGTACATCTACAACTTACTGTATAGAGTCAACCTGATTCAAGATGGCTGCCATCTTACTCATCAAACACTGAAACAATTACAATTTGGTCCGTTTTACAGATATTGGTTTAAAATTTAGTGTGGTAGTATCTGAGTTTCATCCCCATTACATAATCTGAGCTCTAACACGTCATGCAGTGTCATTGTTTAAAGCTTTGGTGTGCAAGTCACTGTGTGATGTTCATTATTGTAATGGCTGCTATTTTATTTGAACAAAATGTATTTTTAAACATAAAACTTTATCTCACTATAAACCAACTACTGAAACTAATAAAAACTGTGTGTTTGGAAGTTTTTAGACAAATTTTTGCTACATTAGATTGTGAAGGATACATGGTACATTGAGATATATTCTTGCAATCTTTATGTTAATTGTGTGACACTTAATAAACAACTTCCAGGTAATTTATTAATGTTTTAAATGTTTGTATTTGTGTTCTGGCTGCATGTGCGTGGTGTGTGTGTGTGTGTGTGTGTGTGTGTTTGCAGGCTAGCCTACAGCTAAAGGAGGGTCCTAACGAGGTGGTGTTTAGTGTGACCACCCAGTATCAAGGCACCTGTCGTTGCCATGGCACAATCTATCTATGGAGCTGGGATGATAAGATAGTCATCTCAGATATTGATGGAACCATCACCAGGTAGGAGGCTAAAACCTATCTGTCAAAAGGAGACTGTCTGTTCAGTTGCAGCTTATTACCAGCAGGTGTCAGCCTTGTTTGACATTGCTTAAACTCATGAGCTACATTAGATTTTAATAACCCCTGAATTAATCTGTTCTCTCTTTTGGTTTGTGCTTCAGGTCAGACACTCTTGGTCACATCCTTCCTACTTTGGGTAAAGACTGGACACATCAGGGAATCGCACGACTTTACAACAAAGTCAGCATGTGAGTGTGGCCTAACTTCCACTGAAGTGTTTACTCTGCATTTCTAGTTCTTCCTTATTTGGGTGAATTCATATTAAGTTCACTGTATTATAGCTGAGTACATGACGTGTTGTCTCACAGGAATGGATATAAATTCATGTACTGCTCAGCGCGGGCCATTGGTATGGCTGGTATGACAAGAGGCTACCTGACCTGGGTCAATGAGAGGGGAACCATGCTGCCAATGGGCCCGGTGCTGCTCAGCCCCAGCAGTCTTTTCTCTGCCTTTCACAGGTCAGACACACATATGTTTACCAAATTACTAGATTTAAGAAAAAAGCACTAAACATTTTTCTATAGGAGAATATGTCATCACTTCTGATGCAGGCGACACATCTAAAGACATTCTTTTGTAAACAGGCTTTTAGCTGGATATAGTTTTTAATGTGTGTGGTGTGTGCTATACCCTGTTTTTTTCTGTATTTTTCTATGCTTTAATATGTATGGATGTTTATTTTGATGTATGTATATAATTTTTCTTACTTTTAATGTAAAGCATTTTGTGATAATATATTTATGAAAGGTGCTGTATAAATAAAATTGACTTATTTTCGGAGGCCCACTTGTTAGAACTGTGGCCTTACAGCAAGGTTGCAGGTTTGCTTCCTGGCCTTGCTGTGTGGAGTTTGTGTACGACGGAGCTTTAGGGCCTGGCTAAGAAAAAAAAATTAAAAGCCGTAAAATTACGAGAATAAAGTCGAATAAAGTCTTAATATTACGAAAATAACGTCGTACGAGTTTTTTTACAGCCCTCGTGTTTTTTTTTTTCACGAGTCAGATCCACGACGCGACCTGTCAATCAATCCAGTAGGCATGTCAGCAAATGACCAATCCGAAGCTAAATGAGTCCTAATATTATCCGAACTCCGACACGATAAAGCAGAGTTTACTGCATTTTAACCATGGTAGAAGGAAGAATGTTGAGCATCTTGTTAAGTTATACTTTGGTATTGGTTTTACAAATAAGGAGATAGTTAATCTGTTAGCACATCAGCATCAGATTATTATCAGTATCAGGACTTTGAACCTGCTTACAGTAAGGTGGTACGCTCTGATGGGCTGCAGCAGCTCTCTGCAGGTAAGGAGCATTTAGCTTTGGATTGGTCATTTGCAGACACGCCTACTGGATTGATTGACAGGTCGCGTTGTGGATCCGACTCGTTGAAAACAATTAATAAATGAGAGCTGGGGAAAAAAAAAGTCTCATACGACTATATTCTCGTAATTTTATGGCTTTCAATGTATTTATTTTTCTTAATGTGGCCCTAAAGCTCCCTCATAAGTTTGTATGTTCTCTCTGTGCATGCATGGGTTTTCTCCGGTTTCCTCCCACAGACCAAAAACATGCATGTTAGACTGACTGGTAACTCTAAATTGTCTCTAGGTGTGAGTGAGAGAGTGAATGGTTGTTTGTCTCTATGTGTCCCTGTGATGGACTGGAGACCTGTCCAGTGTGTCCCCCGCCTCTCACACCGTGACTGCTGAATATCGGCACCAGTGACCCCCATGACATGGAATGTAAAAAGCGGGTAAAATGAAACTGGGCTGGATGAATGGTTTCTGATGCAAACAGCAAAGGTATAGAATTTAGATTTCACAGCTCAGTCAGCTTTACCTGATACCTTGGACACGATTTTAACTTTACGAAATAAGAGAAGAAGAAGAAACGATACTAATGGGTGCTGTCATGTCTTTGGTGTAGGGAGGTGATTGAAAAGAAACCGGAGAAGTTTAAAATTGAGTGTCTCACAGACATCAAGCATCTTTTCTACCCAAACACAGAACCTTTTTATGCAGCCTTTGGCAACAGAGCTACGGTGAGATTCCTGCACACACACGCACGCACGCACGCACACACACACATTTTGACAGCTACTCTGAAGGGCCTTTCTGCCTCTGGATGTCAGTTCTGTGTTAAATACGTGTTTTTACAACAGTGTTGTTGTTTTTTTCGTCATGTTTTACCTTCATTACCTGTTTTGATTGTTTGTATGTGTGCAATTTCAGGATGTGTATTCTTATAAGGAGGTGGGCATTCCTCTGAACAAGATTTTCACAGTCAATCCAAAGGGGGAGCTGACACAGGAGCATGCAAAAACCAACATTCCCTCGTAAGCAGCATCTTCCATTTGTATTTTTATTTTTATTTTTTTACTTTTTCATCTGTATGATTTGTCAGAACAAATTCAAGCACTGACGTTTCACATCTTTGTGAATCTTTCCCAGCTTTGCGCGCCTTTGTGAGATGGTCGACCACGTCTTCCCCGATTTGATTCAGAATAAGGAAGATGACATTCCTCGTTCTGATTCTGGTTCTTTTGATGAGTGCAACTACTGGAGCAAAACGTTTCCTGGTAGTATGTGTCAGGAAGAAGACCTGCATCCTCTTGAAACAAGTTTAGGAGACTCCATCATATCTAACATGGATGTTGCTGCAGTCCAGCTTCTGTCCACATCGCAGGCAGACGTGAAGCCCGAGGTCGCCTAACTCACCGTGCAACCGGCAGCTCAGTTCAGGAGGGATTATTTCAAAGGCAAGAACTGTCATGGGAACTGCCTTTAAGCTTTTATTTAATATAGCACATGAAGGTAGCTTCAAAACTTTCCTGAAAACCACTAACTATGGCTACCGATACAGAGGAAATGAATGTATTTTCAGCATCATCCCATAAACGAAACTAGAGCACAGATTCACAAACACTTAAAGACTGCACTGCAACAAAATATTCTTTGTCGTGAAACATTAATATACATCTAGATAAATATAACAGTGCAGTATTCCTTTTTATGAGCTTCTTTGGGATTTAATTTTTTTTACCTGTCCCCTGGAATACCAATCACACGGATACAGTCTCAGAGTCTTGGTGTTCAGATTGTAATCTTTTCTGACCTCAAGTTCACTGAACACTGCAGCAGAACATCTGGATTACACACATTAAAACCATCCAGCTGATGCAAAAACGTACAGGAATTCAAACCAGACATCGTCAGTGTCCAAGTCCTCTGCAGATTCAGGTAAATACATGAAGTATTTTGACCGTACTACTGTGAAACATGAGGCCATAGGCCATTTTGTGTTCATTATGACTTTTTTAAAAAAGAAGGCAGAACAATGCAAATATAGGCCATCTTTGTTTTTTTCTCTATTTTTAAATGTGGAAAAAAAAGTGATATGTGAGAATGTAATATAAAATCACACATCATACTAACTAATACTAATGCAATCATTTCATAAGCTAAGCTAGAGCAAAGATCATTTTGTAGTTTTCTAATGTGAAAATAGTGTCACATGATTTCAAATGTTTGTCTTTATGTATAACATTTACTTGTTATTGACACATTGGAAGCTGTTGGAAATATTTGTCAAAAACACAATATTTTCATGTGTTAATATGTTTTTTTAATCCTCTGCTCAAATAATATATTGTTTTTATGCATTTGCTTGTGTACTCGAAGAATGGAAGACCACTGTAAATAACAAAAAAAAAAAAAATTATACTGTGACTATAAAGGTACAGTACTTTTTGTAAAGGATCTTTGATCTAGTGTAAAGTCAAAAATAATTTATCGGTGGTCTTATTATTGTTTTTTCTATTTGATGTGCACCCATTCAAAGTATTTCTGCAAACCTGAAGAATCATTTCTTCCATGTGATGTAACTAAAGCAACAGATCAACTTGCAGTACTTTTTTTTTTAATGGACTGATGGTCTCTTTCTCTGGTAATTAAACAAATTTTTTGTTTGATTTTTCGAAATTATTCAATTTCACTGTCCTTAAAGGAAAAAAGGACTAGAAAGTATCTTCGGCTATCGAGCTTTCTGATTCTAACAGACTGTTTCACTTTAATAGTATTTATACACAGGATAAACTGTTGTGTGTTTGACTGTAACATAGTATTTATACACAGGATAAGCTGTTGTACGTGGTGCCATAATGTGACTGACTTTATCTAAAGAACTAATCAGGACAGAAGTATTTACTGGTTCTACAATAAAAGGCAGAGTTAATACGTCAAAATGATCCTTTTTTATTAACATTTAATTCTTTCTGTGAAAGATTCGTTAAAAACTATTTCCATGTTTTCAGTTTTTTCTTGATTTTCTAATGTAAAGCAATTAGTTCTGGCATCAAGACTCATTTACCAGCAGTGTGTAGTGCAAACTGTTATCAGTATAAAACGATGCGTAGAATAAACATTGTAAAAAAAAGATCAAATGCTCTTTATTTATTTGCATGTGTGATGACTGATATAAAGTGTTGGATAAATTAATTGTCCTATCTTCATCTCATTACTCAAATAAGTCACTCTTGAGGACGCGAGAAGCCTTTTCAACTCCAAGGGTGGGGCGCAGAGGTTATTTTTTTTAATTCAACCTTTATTTATACAGGTTAGTCTCATTGAGGACTCATTTACAAGAGAGACATGTTTTAAACAAAGAACACAGATGACAACAGTACACAATCATTAAATAGCATATAAAATGAAAAAAAAAGGAAGAAAATTATATTAAAAACCAACAAAACACAAAAAGCTACATTAAAGCGATATAAAATACAAAAAAACAGGAACATGTACTTTTTGCTCTGAACTCAGCAGCTGTTTGAAGCCACGGACTTGCACAGATGTTACACTGAAGCTTCGGTCACGAAGTCTGTACACAGACAGTATAAAAAGTGTGTTTTATACTTATCAGACAGAGATGAGGTCAAAACAACTTCACAGATGTGAAGACGTCAGAAGTTATAGTAAATAAATGGTAAATGGACTGTACTTCTATAGCGCATTTCTATCTTATTTCTAGATACTCAAAGCACTTTACACAACAATCTGTGCCTCATTTATCCATTCATACAGCACTCTACTAGATCTCTACAAAGCTAATTGAACAAATCATTCTAAAGAGACTAATCAGAGCTTTATCACATTCAAACACCGATGGGACACACATCAGAGGCTATGAGGGGTTCAGAGTCTTGCCCAGGGACACTTTGGCATGTGACTGCTGGTGGATTCGAACCCCCAACTCTCGCATTGGAGGACAGCTGCTCTAACCACTCAGCCACAGCCACCCCATTATCTGCAGGCAGTTCATGCTGGTTCCTCTCTGAGTAGACAAAACGACTCACTTGACCTCACACACATGGTTCTACATAAATATAACTTTAATAAGTGATAACATCCATGACCTTAAATACCCCTGACATAAAGTTCAAGGATCTTTATATCCCCCTAAGAGCAATTTGTTCCTTAAATTCTCAGTTTAGACAGAATTTTGCTTAGGTTTGTAAATCTGGAAATATTTAGCATGGATTTAGGGATTGTTGGACAAAATTGGTGTTTCTGCAGCTGTTACATTACGCAGCACGAAGTGAACTTGTTTTTTGTCTCTAGTTTTGTTAGGAACAAAAGAAATGAAGCATTCCTTTAACTCAGCACCGCCCCCTCCTGTCATTTGCATCCGTTCATGTTACAATAGCATCTATTTTATCTCTTATTTATTTGTTTGTTTGTTTGTTTGTTTACTTATGTATTTATTTATTTATTGTGTGTGTTGGGGGAGGGGGGTCTTTTTTGTTTCATAAAAACTTGATCGTCAACCCTGCCTCCCCCCTCTGCTACCCCCGATACCCTCACCCCACTGAGGTTTCAATGTTGGAGGAAAAAAACAAGGAATTTGTCTCTTTCTGTGCGTCCTCTTTTCAACATATTTTAGATTTCTTTAGCCCTTCCCCCATTTTGGAAACACACACACACACACACAGGCAAAAATGTAAACTTGTTTTATATGTAAACTAATTCCAAGTATAGGTTAAGGAGGGGTGTATCTATTTAAGCAGATAAAATGTTGAGCTCCACTTGTTGCTTCAGATGTTTGGAAAAAAAAAAAGTTTTTTTTTTTTATTTTTTAAAGAAGGATTGGATTGTAGGGCAGCATGGTGGGACAACTGGTAGAGCTGCTGCCTCTCAGCGAGCAGGTCCCCGGTTCAAATCCCAGCCTGGGTGCCTTTCTGCGTGGAGTTTGCATGTTCTCTCCGTGCATGCGTGGGTTTTCTCTGGGTACTCCAGTTTCCTCCCACAGACCAAAAACATGCATGTTAGGCTGATTGGTAAATTGTCCCTAGGTGTGAGTGAGAGAGTGAATGTTTGTTTGTCTTGTTTGTCTCAATGTGTCCCTGTGATGGACTGGAGACATGTCCAGGGTGTACCCCGGCCATCGCACAGTGATTGCTGGACATGGACACCAGTGACCCCGGTGACCCAAAATGGAAGAAGCGAGTAAAAGATAATGGATGGATGGATTGAATTTTTTTTTTTTATTAACTGAAATAAATGAAACAAGAGATGTACTTTAACTATTGTACATATGCACGAGTAGATAGTTACAAATGCATAACAAATTATTTGACTGTAGAAATAATAAAATCCAAAAATATCCTATGAAATTAGACAGTTTGTAAAAAAAATTAAATCAAGATCCTACAAAGTTATTCTCATTAAAACAAAACTTACAAACAGCTGAAAATCATTTTGACACACTGATTCTCAAAGTCGTTTAAAAAACTAGAAGATCACCAAATTCAACATCCCAAACTATCCAAACACACGACAGCTTGTAATAGGATAACAAGAGGAGGAGGGATCATTTCCACAGACGTCACATCTGTGTCCAGATGTGATCTCGATGTGAAACAACTCCTCGCTGAAGCTCTGATCACACAACTGCACACGTTCTGCCTTTTCTCCTTTTTTCTCTTGATTTGTTCTTTTCTGACATGTTGGTTTGACTCACAGCTCTTTGTTTTGTGTTTTTTTAAAGTTAGTCTGCTCCCATACGAGTTGTTTTAAAAGTTTGCAATCTCACTTTAAGAGAAAGGGCTGCTCCCCCCTCCCATGTGACCCTCATAAGTTGAAGTGTTTGTGTTTGAGGGTAATGCCATTGGCTTCACATGCAGAAAGCTGAAGCTGCTGGGTGGAACAACATCTGGAAGTGTTCGATCATCTGGTTGTTTTTTTGTCACCGCTCTGAGGTTTTACAAATTCAGATGTCAACAACGTCAACAAGCTGCTAATAAACTTCTGGATGTTCTGACACAACATTGTTGGAGTTGCACGGTAGGTTGTTTTTAACCATGACATTTTTTCTTCGTGTACTCTGTGTATATCAAGTTAATAGATGTAAATGAACATAATCAACAAATGAAGATTTGCAGCAAGTTTTGTAAATCCTTTATTAAGCATGTGATCTAATAATTAAATAAATGCAAAATATAATAAAAAACAGAGAGGAAGGATGGCGTTGTCAACAGGAGCCAACAACAACACACACACACACACACACACACACACACACACATATATA